CTCTCTCCCCTCTCTCTCCCTCCTCTCTCTCCTCCTCTTCCCTCTCCCTCCCCTCTCTCCCCTCCCTCCTCTCTTCCCTCCTTTTCTCTTCCCCTCTCTCTCTCCCTCTCTCTCTCCCTCTCCTCTCTCCCTCTCTCTCTCCCTCTCTCTCTCCCTCTCTCTCTCCCCTCTCTCTCCCTCCTCTCTCCCTCCTCTCTCTCTCCCTCTCTCTCTCCCTCTCTCTCTCTTCTCTCTCCTCTCTTCTCTCTCTCTCTCCTCTCTCTCTCCTCTCTCTCTCTCTCTCTCTCTCTCTCTCCTTCTCCTCTCCTCCCTCTTCCCCATTTTCCCTTCTCACTCTCCCCCTCTCCTAACCCTTCCCTTCTCACTCTCCCCCTCTCCTACCCTTCCCTTCATTCTCTCCTTTCCCCCCCTCTCTCTCTCCTCTCCCCTCTCTCTTCCTCTTTTTTTCCTTCTCACTATCCCCTCTCTCTTTTTACCTTCCCTTTTCTCTCTCTCTTCTCTCTCTCCTCTCTCTCTCTCTCTCTCTTCTCCCCCTCCTCTTCTCTCTCTCTCTCTCTCTTCTCTCTCTCTCTCTCTCCCCCTTCTCTCCCCTTCTCTCTCCTCCATCTCTTCCCCTTTTTCCCCCTTTTTTCACCTCCCTCCTCCCTTCCCTTCCCTTTTCTTTCCCCCTCTCACACTCTCCCCCTTTCCCTTTTCCCCTCTTACCCTCCCCTCTCTCCTTTACCTTTCCCCCTTTTCTCTTCTCTCGCAAAAAAAAAAATGGTGGGGACTCGCATGAACTAAGGATCAGAATGAGAATGGTTCTGGTAGGGAGGGTGGATGGAGGAGCATGGAAAAGGATGGAACAAGAGTGGGAGAGAAAATTAGGAGAGCTTTCTGAAAAAATGGAGAAAGAGCTTCTGTGAAATTTGGAAAAGAGGTTGGAGAAGGAGACAAAGAATTGGGAGGCACAAGCGAAACTGCAGTAGCCAAGATAAGGGGCCTAGAAGTTGAGATAATAGGGTGAAGCGAGTTACAGGGGCAGTGACCAGAGAAGACACAGCATATGAAGCTGCGAGGCCGAACAGGAAGGAAGGGAAATTTTGAATTATGCTAAGGTCATATCACCTGCCAAGGAGGGCCAAGGAGTGAAAGGGAAGAACAGCTGGTTGCAGAGGAGAGGGTGATAGGTCGAATGCTGAGGGACAACCTGCTATCAAGAGCCACTGGAAAAATCAAGGGAGAAACTGACCACATACAGGGAGGATCCAGAGTCACAGAGGGTGAGGCAATGGGAGGAGGAAAGGGCAAAAACAGTGTTTATCCATGGGCTTCAGAGAGAGAGGAAAGGACACACCCCTGAAAGGCAGCAGGAAGAAAAAAAAGGAATTGAGAAAATCATCACAGAAATAGGTGAAGAGATGGACGAGATTAAATTTTCAGAGAATAGGGGGGTACTTGAAGGGGAGAAACCGACCAATCAAGCTGAAATTCCAGGAGGGAAACAGTGCGGAACAGGATCCTCCAAGAGAAACCCCCATTGAAATACTCGGAAGAGTGCAAGAGGGTGTTCGTAGACAGAGACAGAACACAATCAGAACGACAGCAGCTTGAGGGAGAGGACAAAAAAGCGAAAGGAGCTAGGAAAAGAGACAAGGATGGAACCAGCAGAGGTCAGGTCAGAGCAAACAGAACAGCAAGGGGAAGCACACACACAACTATTTTCAGAACCATACAACCTATCACACCATCCCAACACACACTACAGTCCATACCCACAGCCTCCATCCAACACCGAGCTATAGAATCCCCACAGTATGCTACCAGGTCTCCCACCCACCAGGACCCCCAAACTACAGTGTTGGAAAGGAAACTGAAGTAAAGGTACACAAACACTGATGAATAACAAATAAGTGGGAGGAGTGGCATGAAAGAGTCAAAGAGGGGAACACCGGACATCATAGGGTCCACAGAAACCAAGCTTACAGGTATGATAACAGATGCCATCTTTCCAACGGGTACCAAATCCCCTGAGGAAAGACAGAGGGAAAAGGGGGGTGGAGGGGTGGCATTGCTGATCAGAAATCGCTGGAATTTTGATGAGCTGGAGAGAGGAGACAGCGGAGAAGAAAGTGATTACATAGCGGGAACGCTTTACTCTGGAGGTCCCAAGGTGGTAATAGCAGTGATGTATAACCCACCACAGAACACAGGAGGGCCAAGGCAAAAATACACAAGAGCAATAGAGCGATGGTTGACACACTGGCTAGAGTTTGGGCAAAGAGCTCATACATGCAGGCAAAGCTCCTGATCATGGGTGACTTTAACCACAAGGAGATCGATTGGGAGAACTTGGGCCCCATGGGGCCAAGATACATGGAGGGCTAAGATGAAGGAGGTTGTACTGGAAAACTTCATGTACCAACACATAAGGACACTACAAGAGAGAGAGAGAGAGGATGAACCAGCAAGGCTGGACTTAGGGATTCACCTTGAGTAGTGCAGATATCGAGGACATCACATATGAAAGACCCCTTGGGCCAGTGACCATGTGGTTTTAAGCTTCAAATACACAGTAGAGCTACAAGTGGAGGAGAAGCAGGAAGGCCAGGACGAATGAAGCCAAACTACAAGAAAGGGGACTACACAGGGAAAGAGGAACTTCCTGAACGGGTTCAGTGGGACAGAGAACTGGCAGGGAAGCCAGTTAATGAATGATGGAATATGTAGCAACAAAATGCAAGGAGGCGAGGAGAGGTTTGTACCCAAGGGTAACAGGGAAAAATGAAAAAGCCAGGATAGCCCATGGTTTTTCCAAAGGTGCAGGGAGGGAAAAACCAAGTGTGCTAGGGAATGGAAGAAATATAGAAGGCAAAGGACCCAGGAGAATAAGGAGAGCAGTCGTAGAGCCAGAAACGAATATGCACAGATAAGAAGGGAGGCCCAAAGACAATATGAAAAATGACATAGCAGCGAAAGCCAAATCTGACCTGAAACTGTTGTACAGCCACTTAGGAGGAAACAAAAAGTCAAGGACCAGGGAATCAGGCTAAGGAAGGAAGGAGGGGAAAACACCAAGAAATGACCGTGAAGTATGTGAGGACTCAACAAGAGATTCAAAGAAGTGTTCACAAGGAGACACAAGGGGCTCCAGAAAGACGGGGAGGTGGGGCACACCACCATGTGCTGGACACAGTACACACAACTGAGGAAAAATGAAGAGGCTTCTGAGTGAGCAGATACCTCAAAGGCAATGGGGCCAGATAACATCTCCCCATGGGTATTGAGAGAGGGAGCAGAGGCGCTATGTGTACCCCTAACAGCAAATTCAATACATCTATCGAAACAGGGAGATTGCCTGAGGCATGGAAGACAGCAAATGTAGTCCCAATCTTTAAAAAAGAGACAGACATGAAGCATTAAACTACAGACCAGTGTCACTGACATGTATAGTATGCAAAATCATGGAGAAGATTATCAGGAGAAGAGTGGGGGAACACCTAGAAAGGAATGATCTCATCAACAGCAGCCAACATGGTTACAGGGACGGGAAATCCTGTGTCACAAACCTACTGGATTTTTATGACATGGTGACAGCAGTAAGAAAGAGAGAGAGGGGTGGGTGGGTTGCATAATTTTTGGACTGCAAGAAAAGGGGTTTGACACAGTTCCACCCCAAGAGATTGGTGCAAAAACTGGAGGACCCAAGCAGGGATAACAGGGAAGGCACTACAGTGGGTCAGGGAATACTTTCAGGAAGACAGCAGCGAGTCATTTGGGACGTGGCGAGGTGTCAGAGTGGGCACCTGTGACCAGCGGGGTCCCACAGGGGTCAGTCCTAGGGCCATGCTGTTTCTGGTATTTGTGAATGACATGACCCGGAAAGGGAAAAGACTCTGAGGTGTCCCTGTTTTGCAGATGACGTGAAGTTGATGGGGAAAAAATTCACTTTGATCGAAGACCAGCAGAACTACAAAGGATCTGGGCAGGCTGCAGACCTGGTCCAGCAATGGCTCCTGGAGTTCAATCCCACAAGTGCAAAGTCATGAAGATTGGGGAAGGGCAAAGAAGACCGCAGACGGAGTACAGTCTAGGGGGCCAAGACTACAAACCCCCACTCAAGGAAAAAGATCTTGGGGTGAGTAAACACCAGGGACATCTCCTGAAGCGCACATCAACCAAATAACTGCTGCAGCAATGGGCGCCTACAAAACCTCAGAACAGCATTCCGACATCTTAATAAGGAATCGTTCAGGACCCTGTCACACCGGTACGTTAGGCCCATATTTGGGGTATGCGGCACCATTTGGGAACCCACACCTAGCCAAGCATGTAAAGAAACTAGAGAAAGTGCAAAGGTTTGCAACAAGACTAGTCCCAGAGCTAAGAGGTATGTCCTATGAGGAGAGGTTAAGGGGAAAACAAACCCGACGGGCACTGGAGGACAGGAAGATAGGGGGGACCCTGATAACGACTAAAAAATACTGAGAGGAATTGACAAGGTGGACAAAGACAGGATGTTCCAGAGACTGACACAGTAACAAGGGGACACAGTTGGAAGTTGAAGACACAGATGAATCAAAGGGATGTTAGGAAGTATTTCTTTAGCCACAGAGTAGTCAGGAAGTGGAATAGTTTGGGAAGCGATGTAGTGGAGTCAGGATCCATACATAGCTTTAAGCAGAGGTACGATGAAGCTCATGGTTCAGGGAGAGTGACCTAGTAGCGACCAGTGAAGAGGCGGGGCCAGGAGCTTGGACTCGACCCCTGCAACCTCAACTAGGTGAGTACAACTAGGTGAGTACACACACACACACACACACGCACGCACGCACGCACGCACACAGTTACTATGTGTTCACTCTTTATTCATTATTCATAATAAGTGTCATTGTTGTTATCAACATTGCTTTGTTTAATTCAAGAATGGCTGTCCACCTGTACTTGTGTATGTTTTTTCTTTCGTTCCATTGCCAGTTAATACATATTTTAAAAAAATCATTATATTTTTGCAACTAAAGCCATTTTGAGAATATTATTTTGTTCACATACAAAAATATTATTAAGAGTACAGTATGTTTTGCAGAAATGGTTGGCCAGATCCATGCTGCCCAGAAAGTACGGGACGAGGCCATGATGTCGAGAATTAAACTTGCTAATGAGGAGCGAGATGCAGCTATCACTCATAGCAGGGCTATGATGGACAGGTTGAGTCTGTCACCACGGGGAACTGCTGCGCCTGCTACTAATATTGACGTTGAGCAAGTAGGTTGACACCTGTTGCTTGTTTATACCTTAGAAAACGAAAGGTATCTTGTGACAGATTATTCTACATCTGTTGTTCAATAATCAGTTTTTCTCTCTTATCTTGTGTAAATATAAATATTTGGGCACTCATATAAATATTTGCGCACTCACTGTGTGCCATATGAAAAAAATTGGGGACGCCTGGGTACCATATGCTCTTTTTTCCTATTAAAAAAAAAACCATTTTTTTTTTCTCAAAATTTGGGACGCTACGCGAGAGAACGTACATATACATTTGGACCGTTTAAGGGTTAATTTAGTAAGACATGGAGAAACCAAAATGGAGGTTGAAACTGCAGAAACATGAAGCAAGTTGTGATGCTCATACTATCAAAATAATGCAGGACAGTGTTGTTCAGTGGTACTACATCATAGCTCACAAAATGACCTTAAGTACTGTGTGCAAGGTGCACATCATACATCTGTTCTTATCACAACATAATAGGGGCACTCAGCTGGGGGATCCAAGATAACAGTAGTAATAATTATCAACCTACTAAACAGCAAGAGACCATGGCAGGAATATGAGGACAATAACAGGACAGGGGTGACCACAGTAACATAGACTAGGAAAGTGGAGGCACGTGGAGGGATAGAAACATGGAGAGCTAAGCTGTTGGAGGTGGTGGTGGAAAACTCCATGTGTCATCACATCAGGGATGCAACTCGGGAGAGAGGAGGGGATGTACTAACAAGGCTGGATTTTTTGTTCACCCGACGTGACTGATGGTGAGGACATTGATTATGAGAGGTCCCTTGATGCTAGCAACCATGAAGTACTGAGGGTTGCATACCTTGGTGCTAGCAACCACTCAGTGCTGAGGTTTGCATACCTTGGTGCTAGCAACCACTTGGTGCTGAGGTTTGCATACCTTGGTGCTAGCAACCACACAGTGCTGAGGTTTGCATGCCTTGGTGCTAGCAACCATGCAGTGCTGAGGTTTGCATACCTTGGTGCTAGCAACCATGCAGTGCTGAGGTTTGCATTCCTTGGTGCTAGCAACCACACAGTGCTGAGGTTTGCATACCTTGGTGCTAGCCACCACACATTGCTGTGGTTTGCATGTCTTGTGGAAGTGGATGTAGTGAGGAATAGAGTATTCAGGAAGTGACAAATCTAACTTCAAAAGTGGAGACTATGATGGTATGAGGCAATTCCTAAGCAGAGTGCCATGGGAAAGAGAGCTAGAAGGAAAGGCAGCAAATGAAATGATGGAAAAGGTTGCTGTAAAGTGCTGGGAGGCAGAGGAGAAATTTATACCCAGAAGTAGAAGAGGCACAGGCAAGAACAAATGAGCCCATGATTTACCCAGAGGTGCAGGGAGGCAAAAGCTAAAAGTGTGAGAGCATGAAAGACACATAGGAAGCAAAGAGTGATTCAAAATTCACTCATTCATAGATGACTTCTTATTGTATATAATGCCAAGTCCACTTTCTTCACTACTACCCTGATGAAAATGTGAAAATACCACCGAGCTCTCTAGCATATGCCATGGCTGTTTAATGATAAACTATTAGAAATAATTTCTGTACTCACTGTCATGGGTGTTGCCAATTGATGTTCTGCAAGAAAATGACAAAACTGACACAACCAAACATTTTTGGGGGCACATTATATGTACTTTTCTCCACGGGGAAGTGGACCAGAATTCTTCCTTAGTAAGCCACGCTGGGGGCAAGGGGCTAGTAACCCTTTCTTCTGTATAGATTACCAAATTTTAACCCTTTGGGAGTTTCGGACGTACTAGTACGGCTTACGACCCAGGGTTTTTGACGCACTAGTACGCCTAAATTCTAGCGCCCTCAAATCTAGTGAGAGAAAGCTGGTAGGCCTACATATGAAAGAATGGGTCTATGTGGTCAGTGTGTGCAGTATAAAAAAAATCCTGCAGCACACAGTGCGTAATAAGAAAAAAAAAACTTTCACCGTGTTTTTGGATTAAAACAGCAACTTTGCACTGTATTTTCATATGGTATTTATTGTTGTATTCTAGTTTTCCTGGTCTCATTTTATAGAATGGAAGACATATTACAGAAATTGAGATGATTTTGACTGGTGTTACAATGAACAGTACCTTGAAATTGAGCTCAAAGTAGCAGAAATGTTTGATTTTTACCAAAGTTCAAAAGTAAATAAATCATGCCAAGCGTCCAATACACATCAACTGGTGAGTCTAATATTCTTTCACAAGTGCGCTGATATTATTTATACCATTTCTACACTAATGCAGTAGTCTGCATAACAGTAAATCTTATTTGTTTTGTAAGAATAAAAATTCAAAGTGGAAAGCCAAAGAAATATAAGAGGGGCCTGGGGGATGTGACTAATGAACAGAGAACTTGTTACTTTAGTGCCAGGAATGTCTTTCTTGTTTATTCTGGACCCTATTCAGAAATTGGCATCTTTTGAAATTTGTGTGAAATTGGCAAAATTACTAAATTCTGACCACTTTATTGGATAGTTGAAATCGGTAAATGGGCGTTTTTTTGTATTCATTTGATAGAAAAATGGAGTTCTAGCAAAGTAGTTATGATTTTTGTCGACTAGTACACTGGAATTGGCTGAAAATAGGGCTCAAAGTGGGCAAAATCGCCGATGCGTGAACATCGTCGAGACCGCTAACTTCGTGAGAGCATAATTCCGTAAGTTTTCCTTCAAATTTCATAATTTTGGTGTCATTATGATCGGGAAAAGATTCTCTATCTTTTCATAAGAAATAATAATTTTTTTTTTTAAATTTGGCTGACCCTGAGAACAAGTCTCTGAGAGGACCTGCCGACCCCCAAAGGGTTAAAAGAAAAACATTCGTTTTTCTTCTTAGGTCATGAGGGAGCCTTCACCATATTCAACTTCAATAACAAAAACTTATGGTAGGGCCAAATCAACTATGTCCTGAATGAAATAAACTGGGAAGACATCCTGTGCAACATGAATCCAAACCTATGTCTAGAAAAAATTAACTCTGTGGCACGTGAGGTATGTTTAATGCATATTCCTTTAACCCTTTGAGGGCCAAGACCCCTGTTTGCAAACCTACTCCCAAGGTCGAAGAATTAAAAAAAAAAAAATTCTTATGAAATGAAAGAATTTTTTTCCAAAGGTAATGAAACCAAAATCACAAAATTTGATGGAAAACTCATGGAATTACGCTCTCGCGAAGTTAGCGGTTTCAGCAATATTTATGCATCAGTGATTTCGCCCACTTTGAACTCTATTTTATTACAATTCCATTGTTTCAGTCGACCAAACTCATAGCTGTTTAACTAGAAATCCTTTTATTCTATCGATTGAGTACAAGAAACTGCTCATTTACCTACTTCAACTACGCAATAAAGTGATCAGAAATTACTAATTTGGCCAATTTCACACAAAATTCAGGAAAAAGCCAATTTCAAAATAGTGTTCAGAATAAATAACGTAGACATTCCTGGCACTAAAATAACATTTTCTCTGTTCATTAGTCGCAGCTCCAGGACCCTCTTATATTACTCTTGCTTTTTATTTTGAATTTTTATTCACACATAAAATAGAAGATTTACTCTTATTCAGACTACTGCATAATGGTAATAATTGTATTAATAATGTCAGTGCATTTGTGAGTGCATATTAGACTGGTTAATTGATGTGTATCGGACGCGTGACATGTTTTGTTTACTCTTGAACGTTGGCAAAAATCAAATATTTCTGCTATTTTCAGCTGAATTTTAAGCTACTTTTAGCGTAAACCATTAAAAGTCATCTCTTTTTCTGTAATATATCTTCATTCCTATCAAATGAGACCAAGAGACCAAATATACAACCATAAAAACCATACAAAAATACACTGCAAAGTCACTGTTTTACATCAAAAACACAGTTGCAGTTTTTTTTCTCATGCACTACATGCTACAGTGCATACTGGCAGGCACATCATCTGAAGGGACTAGAAGACACAGACCAGCCAGACTATGGGAAACAAAAGAGAGGAGCCACAACCTCTCCAGGGACAGAGGTTTTTTTTAGGGCCAGAAGGGAAAAAAGACTGGCAAGAAATGACAATAATCCTACACCACCTGAAAACACTTCTGGAGCAGAGGCACGGCCATTGGCCTCTACCTCAGAACATGGATATTAGAGCCAGCAAATAAAACCTCCTTAAATTCCACCAATATGACATTTGTCTTTGCAAACATACAGGGTCTAAAGCCGTCAAAAAACAACAAAATTCCTTATATCAAGGGACTGCTCATGGAGTCAAATGCAGTGTTTGCAGCATTCACAGAGACCCACATAAAGGATCACTATGACAATGAAATATGGATCCCAGGTTATAACCTATTCTGATGTGACAGACTAAACAGGCAACAAGGGGGGGCTTGGCCTGTATGTCATAGAGTCGCTCATTTGCACAAAACTACTAAACACCTCAAATGATGTAGTTGAAGTTTTGGCGGTAAAGATCGAAAACCAAAACCTTGTCATTGTGGTAGTACACAAGCCTCCAGATGCAACTTCCCAGCAGTTCCAAGAGCAGCTTGAGAAAATTGAACACTGGAAAATCTCCCAATTCCTGCCCCAAACATCTTACTGCTAGGAGATTTCAACCTGAGACATCTAAAATGGAGGAGTATAGCAAACAATGTTTCAGCAGAGATTACCCCAGGAGGCAGCTCAGATGAAAATTCACACACACACGAACTACTAAATTTCTGCAACAAATTCACCTTAAACCAGCAAATAGTAGAGTCTACAAAGACTAGAAAATACGCTGGACCTCATCTTCACTAATGACTATCTGATACGTAATATAACTGTATCAAAGACAATTCACTCAGATCACAACATAATAGAGGTACAGACATGTGTGCACAGGGCTCTGGACCAGCAAAATGTGAGCAGTCATGAAGGTCTCTTCACGAAATTCAATTTCAATAACAAAAACATGCAATGGGATCAAGTAAACCATGTCCTAAATGAA